CACCGTTTACAATTGTTTGAAATCGCTTGAAGTTCATTCTCAAGTATTAACGAACTGTTAAAACAACCAATGTACAAATATGTCATTTTAAAAAAAAAACCTAAGCACCTGTCATAAATTAAATTTTATGTCGCAAAAATTTTGTTAAAGTATAATTTAAAAAAAAAAAAAATTAAATCTTAGGTTAAAATCTAAAATACCGTATAGAAATAATTGGTTACCTCACTTAAATATTCACCGAAATTAATATCAGTAATTTGATGTCCCCAGCCCAATCACCTATATGAATCTAAATATGCGTTTGTTAAAATGTGGATTCAATGCACTGACAGGTTTTACGAAATCTTATTTTTTACTCTCTTAATCTGACTTTTCTCCAGTTCAATAGAAGATTTTAATTTTCTAAGTGCTTTTTTTTTTTTTTTTTTTTTTTTTTTTTACATGACAACGGTATGTGTGATGTAGAGTTTTCCAGTTAAGATTAAAGTATACCTGTCACTAGCAAAGCATGAAATAGCGCTGGAACTGGTAAATCAAACTCTCCCCCCACCCCCCGCACGTATCGATTTCTTATCAAAAACCTTTAAAATGCGCTATTCCTGTCAACCGCGGTATGCGTTAGGGTTTCTCTGGCACAGAAATCGTGTTATTACCTGCAAATAGCACGCGCCATTTTAAAGCTAGCATCGAAATACGTCATGAAGGCCGTGGGACGCAGAGGTTTTGCTACCGAGCGCCAGTGTTTCTAAATCACGATGAAAGAGCACGTGACGAGATTTGCTACGAGACTGGGGGGCTGCGAATGAACCGTCGGAATGGCCGGTATTACATTTCACAAAAACAATGTGAAAGCAATACTGAAAAATGGCGACAATGCGCTTATACATTTATTATGTTGGATGCTCAGATGATATTCCTCAAAAAAAACAAAACAACAGTAGTAATTATGTTGTTAGAGTGGTCTAGCGGAGTAAACCGTACGGATAGCCAAAAATTGGTTACTTCGCGGGCCTGTAGCGTGTATGTACATCAGGGGGGGGGGTCTCAAACTCGCGGCCCGCGGGCCATTTCCGGCCCGCCAGACGATAATTTGCGGCCCGATACCTGGAGCAAAGTTTGGTGTTAATGGGGCCTGCGCGTTTTAACCATTCTGATATCTATAATGTGATCCTCCGCAACAGTTTCAGGCATGTCTCATAGACTAGTCTAATTCTGATTTTTGTTATGGTTGCAGAGGTTTTGACGTTGATTATAATGGTAAAGCCGTTTTAAAATCGGACTAAAAGTTTTTTCTTTAATTTTATAGCATTGTATGCGACCAATAGGGCCAAAAGTGCGGTTTTGAGAAAACACGCTTCGAATATTGTATTTGCATATATCAAATGTTTAAAAAGACAGTTAGTGGGTAATTCATAACCATAATTTTGTAAACCGTAGCAATTAGACACAGCCTTAAAGAATCCCTATTAAAATGGCCATTAATGTGTACGAGTGAGACGAGTGAGGGAATTTCTGAGCCTTCCAGCTTGGTTACTTTCAATTTAGGCTAATTCAAAGTCTTTTCTACGATAAGGCTCACATGTTTGCAGACTCAAAACAAACAGAGCCACTTTCCACATTTTTGCTGACCCTTTCTCCTTCAACGTTGAAGCTGCCCCCCCCCCCCCCCCCCCGCACAACACACACACTTTTTTGTGCTTCAAATGGAGCTGATCGATCTTCAGTGTAATTGTGATTTATGGGGTCTATGCTGAGTTCTCCGAGGTATAGAGAAACAGAAAAACTTGGGAAATTATGAGAGTATTGCCCTCCACCTTTCCTGAGATTTCCAGATTGTTCAAGTGGATGACGTGTCTTTTTGCAAGTACCTATCTGTGTGGAAAGTGCTTTTCCACTATGAACTTTAACAGGTCAAAGTTCAGGGCCAAACGCACTGTTGAGCATCTTCAAGCAATAGTGAGGGTCTCAGTTGCTTCCTTACTCAAGCCAAATGTTGCTCAGCTGTTAAAGAGGAAGCGCTGCCAGGTCTCTGACATCAAAGTCAAGGAGTAGGAGGAAGTAAGTTGAGCCGAGTTCTTGAGAACACTTTTATTGGTTCATAATAAAGGTCGAGCAGATTGTAACAGTTGTACTTTATTGAATTTGTAATCGCTTTCTGTGGATTACTTTATTGGGCCCAGTCTCACTCAGACTTTACCTTCTGCGGCCCCCGGATAATTTGAGTTTGAGACTCCTGGTGTACCTGGACTATGTGTTCCGGAGACAAGCATAGAGTCAACATTATTGAGAACTTGTTATTATATGTAGATTTATGTTAATGTTTATTTTCCGAAATGAAATATATATAAAAAAATATAGCACCTATAACCAAAATTTAGTATAATAATAAGACATGTTCATTTTTTTGGTGGGTCTTTTTTCTCCAGGTTTCCCTATACTTCGTTTCGCTAATTTTTATACATGTCGGCAAGAAGCCTTATTATTATACTAAATTTTGGTAGGGACGGGAGACAGATCTAGATAAAATTGCAAACAATTGTATTCTTTAGTCCCATTTCTGGCGGCCTTGTCCTACAAAACTAGAGAAATGAAATGGTTTTAAATACAGCTGAACAAAAGATAAGTGGTGTAGTTTTTTCTTCTTCCTTACTTAACCACACGTCAAATAATGAGTTCACGGGTTTGAACTAAGAAATGACCTACGTCATCATACAGTTGGTTCTCATCCACCGGCTAGAGTTTGAAATAATATATATATACTTTTTTTATGAAGCCATTGTTGTAAATTATATCTGATGAACAAATTTTGCGAGTCAAAGACAGTTTAAGTGTCCTTACAGATTATTTATTAAAAAAGTTGCATCCTGTTCATTAACTCCAAAGAGCAGCACATTGCTAATGGCACCCTTGGGACCTGGCCAATGGCGCCCTGGGGAGCGGGCCAATGGCACCCTTGGGACCTGGCCAATGGCGCCCTGGGGAGCTGGCCAATGGCCCGAGGAAATGAGTAAAGACAAATTATTTTTTTAACATAATACTTAACCTGTAAAATCTTTTCTTCAAACAGATGTGTATAGGATTTTCTTTTGTTAGGACGATCTGTACGGATTTGGGTTAACTAAAATATTTCTTTTCATTAAGGAGAACGCTTCTGAGCATGCAGTCTGACTCAATTCTCTGCATAATCTCAAAGACAGAAGATGTTTGTTTTTTTCTAAATAGACGCTATGGACTGAATTCTTCCGGACATCCTGAAAAGTGGATGCCGTATTTGGAGTCGGGGAGGTGGGGGGCGGGGGTAATATGCGACTGGCCGGTGACTTCAGTCATTCACTAGCCATCTGTCCTCTCGTACGCGTGCTGATAAGTTCACCGCCTGTCTTAAGTCAACCCAAACTATGGCCTAACGTCCGATCTTTGCGAGTCAACACGAGGGTTCATTTCGAAAGCGACACCTACATACATGACCTGGCGCCGTCCTATCTCAAAGAGCTGCTGACGCCTTATGTACCCACTAGACTACTCTGCTCATCCGATAGTGGCAAACTCTCGACACCACGTGTTCGCCTTGAGACTTACGGAAAGCGCACTTTCGCATTTGCTGGCCCAACAATTTGGAACGCCCTTCCTGTCTCTCTCAGAAAAAACCAGACACTGGATTCCTTTAAAACCGATTTAAAGACACATCTATTTCGCAAACACCTTCTGGGATGATGTTGTCTACCATATTTTCCAGTTAAGGCATATTGGTTGTGTTGCTTATGGTTGAAATGGCTAGAAGGACTTTGACATTGTATGCTTGTAATTAGTTTTTGTAGTGTTGCGTTTGTTTTAAATGTGGTAAATTATAGATTTTTAAACGAGGTTGACTTTGTACCGCGCTTCGAGCCTTTGGGGATGAAGCGTGTTTTTTCAAATAAACTTTATTATTATTATTATTATTATTATTACATATATATATATATATATATATAAATGTATTTATATATATATATATATATAATTCGCCAGAAACTAGGGCACAACAAGACCAAGACGACCATGCAGGCTATATATAGATACGCCAGAGCAAGCAAGACGCAGGCA